CAGTAACCTCATTGAATTAAAAAGATTGAAAGGTTTACTCAGGATCATACATGTCTGCAATGACTTCATCAGGATAAGAAGATGTCGGGAAGTAGCATTGGATAAAAATAATATTACAAAATTTGCCTTTCAATTTGAGGATAGGAAGTCTGTCAGATATTGGTTGGTAATCATCTACTAATAAGCTAAATAATTGGTTCACTAGAAATCCAACTCTATTTGATCTGGAAGTGTCATTACCAGAGAGAAACAATTTGAAGCCAAGTTTATCTAATGATTCTATCTTACTATCTTTAATCTTTGTTTCTGAGAGGCCAATCACATCCCAGTTTATATTTTCAATTTCAAAAAGCATTGTATCGAGTGCATGAGTATTAAGGTTATTAATTGTACGAGGATTGTAGGTACAGATTGTTCATGACTTTGATTGATTTTCCTCTTCTGGTTGCTTGTCGCATGCCACTCCGAGGCTGCTGGCAATGAACCCCTGATCGTTTCTGTCACACCAGTCTGGGGCTGCTGATGTGCCCTCCTGGTCGCATGTTGAGGGTCCGGAGGTGGCCCCCTCTGATCTGGTAGACTTAGGTTGTACATTTTCATGTTAGTTTTAACAGCCTAATCTTTACATGCTTGCTTAAGGCAAATTGGAAGAGGCTGGAACAGGTGGTACCGGTTGTAGCTTTGTACGGTAGCAGCACAGATGATATCATGCCGACCTGACGTTATGTATGGATGGCAGTTGGCTCTTGTGATGAGCTCATCCGTCCTTTGGTGTTTTTCAATGCTTATATATTGCTTTCCTTTATTGCTTGGCACGTTTTGTTGATAACATGTTATTAATAATGTATGCAAAATGTGTTTCTGGCATTGTTTGGCTTATTGTAAAACAATTGATACTGTTTCTCTCATCACCACTTGCCATTTTCGCCCTTTCTATCTAATGGGTTGTTCAATAATATTAATCTTTAACTTCAGTTATCATTTAAACACAAATTTAATTGCCATCATACACAAAGGTCTAACAAAGATACCACAAGACTTTGGCATGGTGATTAAATATTGGTAAATGTTTTCCCAGTTGGACAAACACAATAATAAGACCGTGTATCACCAATATTGTAAGCAGAAAAAACAAGCTCAGCTGTAGATTAAAGCAGGTAACAATCCATTAAAAAGAACCACCTGTATACAAAGTTACACAAGACTCTTTGTTTTGAATCAAAACATTCAAGTGACAGGTTTACTTAAAGCAAGAAAGCAAGTTTGGATAAATTATTACCAAATGACCACCAAAGCTGAAACATAAAACATAATTCCAAGTACTTATCATTTATCATCAAAAAAATTCGTAAAACAACAAAAATTAAGATCACTGTACAGATAAAAAGAATGTTAGCCATGATGGAGCATATCATTCATTCTTCTTTAATGACCAACACCTGCCTAGTCAAAGGCAGGGGCATCAAGAGGGGGGATTAGGAGGGGCAAAAGGTTGAGGGCCTGTGCGTCAATGGGGCCCCTAATAATGTAGTAAGATCTATTCACAATGTAAAAGAGCTACTATTTCAGCTACCATATAGAATCAATGCCTATAAGTTTATCACAGAGATGTCCACCAGTCCTTGCTTAATTCATGTAAAAGGTTTTTGCACATTCTTGTAAAAATCCTCAAAAAGCTTGGTTGACAATTGTAATTAAAAAGGGCATCTCTGGGAGACTAAAGGGCATGGCCACAGGAAATTTCCTTAAGTAGATCAAGTTTTGTGAATCACCCCTAGTCCCAAGCTGGCTCTCGATGGCCCTGGTCAAAGGTCACAGTCTCCAAACTTTGGCTTATGATCAGATCAACATACTTGATATACTTTAATTTTCATTTACAAAGGGCCCAAAACCTTTTTCAACAAAACCAATAGAATCAAATCAAGTTCAATTTAGATCTGGTTGAATCACAGAATTATTCAAGAAAGTGTTTTTAGTAATATCTTGAAAAACTTGAAAAATCAGCAAACATAAAATATATAAAAGAAGACATTTTTTAAAGTACAAAATAAAAAAATTAGTTTGAAAAAACAAAAATGTTTTAACATACTGAAGTCTTTCTTTTGAAACTTTTCAGAGTACAAAATGTCAGGGCATAGATAAAAAATCAATGAAATAAATATTGCCAGTTGCAGATTGAAATAGGGCAATCAAAAAGGCAAGCAGACATGACTGCAAAGGTTGAAAAATAAATGCCACTTGTGTTTATGGAGTGTCAGATGAAAAGCTCTAGTATGCTTTAAAATATTTGTCTTTTTAAAAGCAAGTTTAAAGTGAAGTAAAACAAAACTGTGTTTAGCAACACAGTACTATATGGCTTAATAAAAGTCTGCACACTGAAACAGTCCAACTGCATCAGTCTTTTCTTAACTCGCAAATGTTATAAATAACAGTATGCTAGACTTAAGCCCAGATTCTTAAACCTTGTTCAAAGAGAGTTACAAAAATGATGAAGTCAAAAAACATATAATAAATATGAGTCTTAAATTTGGAAAAATTCCCTGGCTAAAGATAAAGGTAATTGAAATAAGTTTAGTTATAAGAGGATCATTGTAGTTTAGCTAGAGTTAAAGCCAAAACTCAATTTCAGCAGTTTTTAGGAGAAGGATATAATATAAATAATATAATTATTATAATTTTTTATAGTGGCAGACTTCGTAGTTCTACATTTCTATACATGAAAACCATTGGTTTGGCATTATTTTAATACTCTTGATTAGCATGGTACCCTAATTAGAAAATGTTGATCAAACATATTCTTCACCAGGTGTAATGCTAGATTGGAAAGTCAGTTCTTCGGGGGAAAAATTTTGTCTCTGGAAAGTATATCATGAGCGCACCTGAGATTTGCCAGAGCTCACCTTAACTGTTTTTGCTTTCTTAATGAGTGAAATTCATCTTAAGTTGGAATATTTGAGCTTTAGCTGCTACCACTATCTTAGTCATGTTTCATTCTTTTGTACATTGGCCAATTTGTCATTTAGATATGCTTTTTAAAACTCATTCCATTTCAAATGTATTCTAAATACTGTTTAGTGCACTTTTGCTTGCATTTTAAGAACATCTGGCCATTTTTTCTGCACACCATATTGCTGAAGTGCCTTTGGTGCACCCAAGATCTTGTGTCACACTTTGCCATGCTGCTTTTTCAGTCTTGGAATTTGCAAAATGACTTCATAGGGTAATTATTATAGAGCCAAGTCTGTAAAAGTGAGCAGAGAACTTCCGGAGCTATGTCTAACAAGTTACTTAGGTTCTGTCAACAGGGGTGGCGCTAGAGACAAACCTTCAAGGTGCCGAAGTTTATATTATCCGTAACTGCCGACACTGAATGTGTCAAATTGCCGACAGGCAGGGCTGTCGCAAGGCAAGCCTCGTTTGGGGTGGGGTGTGTAATGCAAATTTACCTGATTAAAAAATTATTGCCTGAAACTTTTTAGCTGGTGTCACAAACCTCTGCAATACATTTTGTCAGTCTAACTCTGTATGATAATAACCGACTTTCCTAATAGTCTTGTCAAATCTCTATATCGGGACGGGCAAAATATATAGTTACTACCTGAGGCGGCACCATGGTTGCCGCCGAAGGGACAGGAAATTTTCGAATTGTGATGCTTCTAGTTTCCTGGAAAATGCACTCTTTTAAGCAGATTTCACTAAAGCAATCCTCCTAATCCTATTGAAAATTATTGTCTTTTTGCAAAACTTTTTTACAGCAGTTAAAAACAACAACTTTGCCGTGGTCTTGAAAAATACCAGGTTATCAGTTACTTCTAAATTTAGATCCCTTTTTCCATCTTAGCATGCCTTTTGAATGTTAAGGAAAATATGGAGCTCATAGTGAATTGCAGTTGACGCTTCTACTGAGAAACTTTAGGAGAAATGGACACAAGGCACAATTTTACCTAAGACACTGAATATTTCTTCCTATCTATGGTGGAAGAAGTTAATCGATGGTTTTCTCTAAACCATTTGTTTGTCGCAAGCTATGCGGTGAACAATGCTATTGAAAAATAGTTGATGAAAAAGGACAAGAAATGCTTTTTGAAAAATTTATTACGCAAAATGTGCTCATGATCGAAATGTTTTCATTGGCAATAATAATGTCTTGAAACGAAAAGAGAATCCCTAAAATTCATTAAAGACTTTATTTATGACAGCGTGATTTTGCTGTTGTTAGGGTAAATTTCCTCGAAACAGTCCAAAACATGATCTAAATCAAGCATCTCTGCACGATTCGCATGAATTCCAAGCAGCAACAGGGATTTCAACTGAGAGGGGCACCATGGTATTGTGGGTCATGCGAGGGAGCACCATGAAATTAAGTCACAGCTTTCACGGAAGCGACAGGATATAATGCCACTATGATAATAAAATTGCCGAAGAAAAGCCATTGAGAAAACCATAAACCAGCCAGTGCAGTTTTCTCCTCGATTATTTATGTCATTCAAAAACATGTAAACCGGGTGACATCCATCAAGTGCCGACGGTATTGAGAAAGCAACAATTGATTGGCTGCCGACGGGGGGCTAACAAAAATCTAGGGGGGGGCTAAAGCCCCCCTTGCCCCCCCCCCCATGCCGCCACTCCTGTCTGTCAACAGTTCTGATATCTTTTTCTATGTCTTGTGAACATGCTTCTAGGTATTTATAATTCTACAATCTTGGTTATTTGATGAACAACCCTGATGCTTAAAAATGTAATTATTATTTTTGTTGTCTTGAGATTTGCTGTGGTAGTTTGGTATAACTGAAATAGAACGCTATTAAACTTGTTATTGTGGCTGTGGGAATCAGGCAGAGCGAACGAATTGTGTACATTGCTTCAGCTTGGATGATTAGCGGATAACTTAACCTCCCTGAGTTGATAAGTTGCAATTTATTAAGATTCAATGTGGATACCTTTGCTTGGACCGTGAATCTTTCCACAACACAAAAAATACCAGAAATCTTTATACTTACTTTCCCTGCTGTGCCATCCCCAACCAATGTTACTTTGATTTGACGATCTTTCGAAGTATCTTCTTCATCAGATTCTGACATTTTTACCAAGCTATGATTTCTTGAAAGTCTGCAAAGATAACCTGGCCAAGTCCAGACAACTGAGAAGAAGGCCTATGCAACACAAGCGAGCCTCAAACCAAATTTGTCTATACCATTTGACTTTGTTGCAGTCTTAGCAGCAGAAACTGTTCTAAATATATAAAGCATTAATATGCAAACTATTTAAACAAGTAGTCCTAACTTTGTACATTAAAACTCCAGTGTGGAAAGCAGAAATTCAGCAACACTGCCAAGTATCTCGCAGTTCACATCTCCACTCCACTGCTGATAACAGCCTCCTTTCAGTGATGGGCAAACAGGTGTTTCTCCTTGACAACCGATTAATGATTAGGTCAACAAGAAAATTATTGATTCAATCAATTCAAATTTTATTAACAGTACCGGTTACTGATTACATCCAATAGCATGTTAAAAGTTCATTGAAAAATCAAGAAAGAAAGAAGTTACCAAATTTAAGTTTAACGACAATTTATACGAATAAATGGGCTTCGACACAGACTAGAAGGGGAGGGGGGGGGCAATTTAACACCTATAACAAAAGATTTTGAAAAAAGCGCTATTGTTTTCCAAACTGGGGAGACATGGTCCCCGGCCTCCCTTCTTTTGAGGTCTTGGAATACTTATAAATTTTTCTAGTCTCGAAATTTTTGTTTTTGAGCCTGAATACATTCCTTTACATTTTCATTTTATTTTAACTGGAGTCTTATTTTTTGGAATCTGATATCGCTTCAGTGAAAGGTATCGTCCGTACCTGAATACAAACAAACACACTCGGCGGCGGCGAGGGTGAGATTGGGTGATGACCAAACCCACTGATGAACAACCTTACACTTACGTGACAAAGAATTAGGACGATGAACAACAAAATGACGGCTCCTGTAGCATTCTAACATTGATTGAACAAATCTTGCTGTTTTGGCGGGATTCTAGAAATGTCGTCAGCAAAGACGCAACTCCTAACAAATTCAATTTATTTCCTACCTTTCTACATATGATAGAAAAGTAACAAAATGTCAGCGAGAAATGGAAAATATCAATGTTTTAGTTTCAATGCCGAAAATACAAAAGCGACCAGAAAGAGAACGAGAAGCAAAAAAATATTTGGGTCTAGCGAGTAATTTGTTTGCTGAAACCAGGGGCGTCACTTGAGGGGGTATGGGTGGTTCACCCCCCCCCCCCCCTAACCATGAAATTGTTCTTATTAAAAGAGAGTGTAAGGTAATATAATTATGTTTGAGAATAAAAATCACCTGTTGTATTTTATATGCAGCAAGGTAGTTTCCCCATAATGATCTTTGATGGCATTGAGGGAAGTTTTGATACCCTCATCTTTTGAAATGCTAGCGTGTATATCGAAAATGTGTTGTAAAAAATGAGCTCATGCTCTTTGAATCCAGGATGGGGGGGTTGCCACACTCATCAAGAAACTTTCTCTTTCTCGTCTCCCCAAGGTGATGCAAACACATCGGTGAACTTGTGGACACACTGAGCAAGGACCTAAGCGGGAGCAACTTACCTTTTTAGTGTTACGGGAACTGAGGGCCAGTGGCGGGGTGGCTATGTTTTCCCTGGGGTGGCCAAGTCGATTTTTGCGCCCTATCTATATATCGTCACAGAATATCGTGGTTATATAAAGCATGTGTTTCTAGAAGGGAAATCGATTTTTGCAATTTGAATCCAAAATTTCATAAGTAAGGTTTGACTAAAAATGCGAATATGAATGGAAAACTTATGTAATCCTAACATTTGACCTTCCCGTGGTTCGGTAAAATATCAAGCCATTTTGAATTGGCTTATTTTCGAGAGTCGGCCTATTTTTATTTAATTACACTGATGTTTCATACAGGCTCCAGGGGCGAAACTTCACTATTTCATTAGGGGGGTATGAAGCTTAGTTGCCCGATGAAAGGGCGTGGCATGCTTGATGAAAGGGCGTGCCTTACATGAACTTCATTTTTAGAGCACATCGCCTCAAGGGCTGAAATCATCGGGAAGCCCGAGAGAGGGTCTTTAGACTCAGGCTGTTTGTTTTAAGTAAAAAAATATGCCTCTAGTTTTTCTGGTGTTGGCTATAAACATTTGTTTCCGAAAAGCAAGCATTTGTAAGGCCTGTCTTTTCTATAAAAAAAAATCTTCACTTTCTAAATCACCTAGCTATTAAGAGAGCAATTCAAAAAAGAGATTGAAGTAGGGTCTCAATTTTATCAAAGTGGAACACCAAAACACAGCTTGGAAATTTCGGCTGAAACAGCTACGCAGATTACAATGTTCCAACAAAAAAGAGCTTCAGTTGCATTCTCTGAGTTTCATTTTCAATTTTCGGTTGCTCCGGAAGCAATTTCAATATTTTTAGACACCCAAGCACAAAGTACGTATATCTAAATTCACCATAACAAAATCCTTCAAGCAAAGAAAAGTTTTTTATTGGAGTTATTTTACAGGTATACCTATCATCAAAGCTCAATTTTCATGTTTTCGTAATCATGGATATTGTTCAGAAATAGAATAAACTCGAAAGATTTTTTGCAATTCATATCTTAACTACAATTTCTTGATAAATTTTATATTACTTCCCGCTTGAACTGATTAAAACTTTCTGTTACTTGTTATGGTTATTCAAATTTTTTTAGTTAAAAAACTTTGGCGTCTGTATGACCATTTTCTAGCGAAGGGTGCAATACTTTCGAACCGTAAGTGTAAAACCTTAAGAGAATTTTGGGGCATAACTCCTTATGGATGTATTGTTGTGAAGGAGCAGCACGCGGTTAATCCTTCACTCGTTCCTAGACCTCTAAGTTGCATTAGTCAGTTGTTCACGCCACGTTGTAATGAAAAGGTGTTCACGTTTGATCATGTTTATTGTAAATAGTTTTATTATGTTCCTGTTGATGTTATGAAATGTTTAAAAACCCAAATGATGTCTTCTTCAAATGTCCTGACCTAAATTTTTAAAACATGTTTGATTTCATGAATGAAAGTTTCATACATTTGGAAAAGAAAATATTGATTGATTTTCTCAACAACGTATTCCGAGATGGTATATCCTTCATGCTTTGATTCATGATGCTTCTAAAACTGTCAGTGTTCTATGGGCTCCGAGGCAGGATGGAACGTTGAGGGTGGGGGGGGATGGGGGCTTTTCAAGAGAAAATTTAGAAATCACAACAAAAGATTTTGAAAAAAGCTCACTTGTTTTGCAAAAAGTAGGGGGGAGGGGTATACACAGTGTTCATTTCCTTCTCGCATCAAACACACTTTACTTCCTGTCTATACTTTTGCTGTCGATCAATACTTCAGACTTCATCTCGAGGCGAAGATAAACATGTGCGCGTTGAGCTCCAGACGAAAGCGCTGATCAGTGGACGGACGAAAGACAGAAATGTATATATGTTGCTGTTCCTTGCCTCGTTTCTGTTTTGTTTTCCCAACTGGGAGGAGATTGAAAAAAAAGATGGGGGAAAAGACCATGAATTAAAAAACCAACCTAGGGCAAAAAGTAGCAATAAAAGTGCGACCTAAAGAAAATTTCCAGATTTGCCCGACAGATACGCTGGCAGCCATAAATTTGCCCGACAAAATCTGCTTTTTTGAAGATTGGGGGGGGGGGGGGGGTGCAGCACCCCCATACCCCCCAGTAGTTTCGCCCCTGCAGGCTACTCGTTTATTATATCCAGAATACCAGCTTCAGATTAAAATAACATAGAGCAAATTATTGTTTCGGGCTCCTTAGTCTTTTTAACTAAAGGTAACCTTTGTCCATCTCGCCACTGCTTATGGTCGATTTTATCAGCCTAGTATCATCGCATATATGATGTATGATATACAAACATCGTTCAAGTTTATTATTCTTTAGTAGTTATTAAATAGTAGTTTTTCAACAACTTGAAAGTTTCAAGCATTGAATCGCACTATTGAATCAGACAGAGCGGCGGCGGGCACAAAATTGAATCTGGGGTTGGGCTAAGGATAAAGTTTAGTGACAAGGAGGATCCACCATGGTTGGGTGCGACGCGGAAGAAAATTTTTGAAATCAAGCCTTCTAGAATGGCTAAAAATGCATCTCCCAGAATAAAATTTAACAAATTACTACACCGCTCAGAATAGACAGTTCAACGATGCTCAGAAAAAACATTGATTTTGGATTTTTAGAAAAAATTTGGGAGGGGAGGATTCATGCGTTGGATAAAGAAAGAAAGGGTGATGGTCACATCGATGTTAATAACAAGAAGCTGCTATATTGATTGCCAGGGTGCATTCCATGTACTTGGGTTAATAGAAAACATTTTTGGCATACGCAGAATCTTCGTTAGTTGGAGTGCTAAACATGAAGTCACGTACATAGTTAACACGAAAACATATGAAACAAATATTGATTGGGTCGTGGCAGCGCAACGTGCTTCGATTGTAGAATCTCACGTTATTTTAGATTGTTCACAGAAAGTTATAGCGAAGTGTTCTACCCGTGTACGATCACTTTTGATGTTCCTAGCCAAATATTACAAGCAAACAATTTTGGCGCCCCCTTATCTCCATTTGCGCTCCTATTCAGGGGGGGCCATGGCCCCCCTGGCCCCCCTGCCACCACGCCACTGCTGAGGGCCAGATCTCGATTTCATTAGACGAACTTAGCCATAACAAATTATCATTTATTAATAAGATATAAACGAATTATGATACGTTATTGAATTTGTTCACTATCTTGGGGCATTTTGTCTTAAATAAAGTTGTCTACTTTCATTCTATTTTAAATATCCCCGACAGATACATGCCAAACCTCGTAAAAGTTAACGCAGGCGCAAGTTTTTTCAGGCTTCATCTGATAGGCAGGAGCTCTCCTTCTGCCTAATTCCCATTCTATGGTAAAAGCACTGATTCTGTGGCAAGTGGCTTTTTTCAGATCAGTTGGTAAAAGCCACTTGCCATTGGAAACGAGGCTTGTAAGTAAATCTTCTTCATGGTGGCGGTGTGTTAGGTTCGTTGATGTTGGAACTGAGGAGCTGTCTAGTTTCCATACTGCTCGACCGACCTGATGACGTAATTAGTTTACCCTAACCCTAAACCTAAACCTAAACCTAAACCTAAACCTAACCCTAACCCTAACCCTTACCCTAACCCTTTACTTGAAATAAATAATCATGCTAATTCATGACTATGAATCATGCTTATTTATGACTATCAGGTCGAAAAGTATGGAAACTAGACAATGCCGTTGATGTTATTCTGCGGTGGTCAGAGAGGCCACCGTGTCTGGCTCTGCATGGTTTTTTGTTGTTGTATATATTCTCATAAAATCTTTACAAAACACACACAAGTTTACCAGACGATACCACGGGAGCATTTATAAATAGCAACCCTTTATATAAATGGCAATCTACAATCAACATATAAAACTACATCAACTACAATAAGAAGATGTAAAATCAACGAAAAAAATAAAAATAAACTATTTCTAGAAAGAGGAGAGAAGAAATATATTGTTTGTATCACCATTCAATTAAAAACGTTTAGAGGACTGGATATATTTTAGCGATGCAGCAAGAATTTTCGAATTTGATTCGAGTGATAACTCTTCATTACCATAGAGGACGATATTTAAGCAGATTTTTGTTTGTAAAATTCATCAGACCACGAGGCAACAATATCGCATTTAGATCGTTGAGGAGATCGCATCTATCTACGACATAATTATTGCAGAGCAGAAAAAAGTGCTCCGTGTCCTCAACACTGTCATTTTTCGGGCACTAAGGGTTCAAAGTGTCATTAAAGTTGTGCTTAAATTTGTGAAAATTTTGCTTCCTCAGTCCAACAAGTAGTTTTTTGTTTTAAGGGCCAATTGAGCCACAAGGAAATTCCTTTCCTTCCAAGAAAAATATTGTTATCGAATTCCTTGGTTGGAGTTATGAATAAGCGGGAACTATTCATGTGTAAATAGAATTGTTAAATATATGGAATTAACGATGATGTGGTTTTTGTAACCACTTTCTTTGTCAGCTTTTTGTGTATATGCATGTGTTATATACTCAGCGTTTTTCCGGCGACATTCTGCTTTGATAGAGCGAATACATGTTGTTTTGCAATACAAGAAACTTTTTGTTATTTATTAAAAGGTAAGAAAAAGATATGACCCTATAAATGGCAACCCGCGGCCCGCAAGGTACTTTTGTGTGGCCCGGAAGGTCCCTGTGAATCTGTGAATGATGTGGCCCAATGCACGGGTGTCGGCTCGATATCGATTCAGTGATCCTAGATTCTTGTCTGGATTAGCATTCCTTGTTGACATTTCTAGTCCCTCGAACTAGCTGGACAAGAAGCTTTAAGACCATGGTCAATTTGTGAATGTGGTGTATGAATATGTTGTCACGTTCCTGCTTATGCTAAATCTTCGGAAAACTCAGCTGAATCAAGGGAACTTGGTTCACTTTCCATCTTCAAATGGAGTTGATCGAGTTGCAAGGTACCAGTGAATTGAAACAGAAATACAAGGAAACTCATATCATCCAGTTTTATATGGAGAATCTCCATGGTGGATGATGGTTCATATCCAGGTCTGGTGCAGCATGCCAAGAAGATGTGTTGCATGTTTGGAAGTACTTCTTACCTTTGCGAAAGTCTCTTCTCAAAGATGAAGTATGCGAAGAGTCGACTTCAGGCACCGCGGAGCGTTGAGAAAAGTGGGGGGGTCTAAAAAATGTAGGGGGGCTAAAACCATATAAAAATAGGCTTTACTGGTAGTTTATTAGTTAATATTTGGCATTTTTGCAAAAAGTGGGGGGGGGGGGGGGGGGCTAAAGCCCCCTCAGCTCCCCAGCTTCGCGGTGCCTGGACTGCGATCTCAAATGACTGATCAGCAACTTGAAGGCAACTTGCGGCTGTCAACATCAACAATTCTGCCAAATATTGAGAAGTTGGCCTAGGACATGCCGCACCAAGATGCGCATTAGCTTCTTGTAATATACTGACCAGTGAACACCTACTTTACCTCTATGTTTTTATTTACGAACTGCTTCTGAGTTTGAGTTTGGTAGAAGCATCAAGCAACTTTCATGCGAATACAAATGTAACATTTTACAACTTAACTGAAACATGACTGTGACCTGAATATGAGATTCTTGTGGTACTGTCTTTAAACTACATAACAAGTTTGAATAATAGAACAAAGAACGTGGGTAAAGGGTCCTCTAATATTTTCAACACATATATATTTTTGCAAAATTCGAATAAGCGAAAAATGTCTTTTTGTGTTGGAATATATAGCTATTGCAGGCCTGAGGTGACGCAACAATTTGGTCGTAGCTCTGTATGGATTACATAATTCTTTCCGGTATCCAAGCACAACTAAGGACGTAGGGGGCTGAGATACCCGCTTATTTTGAAAATTTCAAAATTGCTTAGAAACATGCAAAGTCTGTGGTATCAATTGTTTTCCTGACAAAGATGCAATCAAAATTTTAATTTCAATATCAAAATTTTGACATCAATCTCGTTTACCTGGCAAAGATGCAACTAAAATTTTAATATCAATCTAGGTTACCTGACAAAGAGACAATTAAAAACCTGGCACAACTGCTCGTCGTCTAGCAACACCTATCTAGCTTCACAAGATACAAAAATATTTTTAGAAGATTCGCAAAGCTCTTTGTCTATCTGTCAGTGGGCAAGGTTTAGCTCCAACAAAGAAACCTTTCAGAATAACTGCGATAATGTATCTTCAAGCTGAACACTATGTACTAAAAATAAACCTTTTGAACGAGATTCAGACAGTGGGTTTGCTTGGCAATGATGTTTCGTTTTAAAACAAACGTAAAACTAGACTTTCCCCGCTAATGGGAAAAGAATCCCCGCTAGACTTTTCATCCTAGAACAAAATAGTACAATTCTTACGGAACTGTTTAAATAGAAAAAGAAGCAACTGGGTGGGTCATGGCCACTGGTGCAACCCAACCGAGCGTCGCAGTGGCAAACTTCTTTTTTCAACTGTCTATCTTTGTGATACAAACAGGTATTAGGTATATGCATACCATCCATGCATAAAAAAGAAAGAGAGGTTAGAATGCCTTGCTGTTTAGACTGTGAATAGCACATATTGACGATGGTATCATATGATTTGGTTTAAATAACACACGCAAAACTATGTATGATATGTTAGGAATATTGGGCGGGGCACATTTGAATTTCCCAACGTTACGCTAATGGTTGGTGCATCTTGAATTGACCCCCCCCCCCCATCAAATTGAAATTGACGTGATAAGAAGAGGTCGCGAACTTTCATAACATCATTCAAGACATCATAATTAAGAACTTTTAAGAATCAGTGAGTATTGAAATTTCCAGAACATTAAGAAACTAGAGTACTCAACATCGCCCTTTGTTTCTTACAAAAAAAATAGTGTAAGCCAAAAATTTGGCTTTTTTTAGGTTGATCTAAATAATTCTCTAATTTGACTGAAGATTTGTATTTTTTAAGCAGCTGTTTCGTTTGTTATTCCTCTGTTTTAATTGGCTTTTAGTAGCACCTTTTTTCGATCATTTCCTTTGAGACCTTTTGGTATCTTTTGTAAAATAAAACAAAGGAATTGAGGTGTCAAAAATATTCAAAATCAAATAGTGTTACCAGCTTGATGCAGTTTGAATCGCTTTTCATAGTGCCATAAGATCAATTTAACGTTTGTGCATATCGTTAGATTGTCTAAATCCTACGAAGGGGCGGGCAGGTTTTCTCGTTTGCCATTTCTTAAAACAAATTGCATTCGAGGCTGGCAAACCTCGGGGGTCATATTGGCGTCATTTCGTTCTGGGAGTCACGCAGGATCTTTTCAAGGCTTAAAAATTTGCGACACTTTAAAAGAAGCTTGTTATTGCAGTGTAATGCACCGAAGAAGCAAAGTTTTCATAACAGTGTAATTGATGGCCTGACAGTCCAAACAACAGAAAGATTTTTTGACACAGAATAAGAAGATTACAATTCTTGATTCATTTTTGGCAAATATGAAGATAAGAAATTCCCAAATAATATCTTTAGTTGCAAGCGATTTTGTTACCACAATATTGAAACGGATTTATGTGCCTTTCAATGCATATCTAAGGGCATGTTTACATGAAGTGGGCTAGCCCACTTAAGTGGACTGGTTAACTCAAGTGGGGTCAGTGCTTTTACAAGGAGAGTGGGCCAGCCCGCTCAAGTGAGATCCGCGAGAAGGATAGGTGGGATCCACGTCAGGTGGGATGAAAATTAACCATGTAAACGCACTCAGGTGGGTTAGCCCACTCACTGAAAGCAAATGCGCCTACGTGAAGGAAGTTGGCGCCAAACTAAACCAAATCATACTGTCGTATGAATCGGCAGCAATAGTTTGGGCTCTTCTGCTAAAACCGTAGCAAACGCGTACAGAAATTCAGAGAATTCAAACGTTTCCTCAATTGAAATGACACTAACATGTCGATCGCATACTTTTGATAGATCGAACACAAAATCAGAATTCCGTCTATTGTTAAGGAAAACTGTTATTCAATACTGTGGCGCGAAAAACTAAAAAAACCTCATTTACAATTTTCAAATTAGAGGCCATCCCACCTAAGTGGAATAAATCGCGTCCTCATGTAAACCCTTGCGAATACGATCTCACCTGCGGAAACTAGCCCAGTTCATGTAAACAGGCCCTAAAGCGCGTTCGGGGAATTTTGATATTCCTGCAGTGATATCTATTTAAAGCAGTTTCTTTGTGGCCCCCCGACTCCGCGGTCATTCAAATTTTTTGCAGATATGCAATTGGCTAGATATGATAGTGACGTAATAAAAATTCCCGATGGGCTTTTGTGTGTCGCGCCTTTAAATAAAAGAGATGAGGTTAAATCTTGTTTGGTTTGCAACACTGGTGGAAAGCAAGCTTTATCGATAACTGAAATAATGGCGAATAACAATTTCGTGACGGAGAAGTCGAAACTGATTCCTTTAAAACAGGAATCTGGAAAATTTCAAGCATCAATTAATAGGTTTATAAAAAGTGGCAAAGAACTGGCAAGAAGCCTTGGTTTTCTACATATGTTTTCTTACATTGTTGGAATATTATTTGGCTCGGGTGTCTTCATATCTCCCAGCTTTGTGGCCAAGCAAACTACAAATATGGGAATGGCGTTGATTATATGGATAGGCGCTGGTGTGATATGTGTATTTGGAGCACTGTGCTTTTGTGAGCTAGCTGCTGCGATAAAAAAGAGTGGTGGTGAATACATTTTTATAAAGGAGACGTACGGAGATGCAGCGGCTTTTCTGACGTTGTGGGCACAAACCCTTGTAGTCACCCCATCTGCACTCTCAGTTTTAGCTGTGACAATTGCTGAATATTTGCTCGGACCATTTTATGACATAACATCTTCTAGTGGTATTTGGCTGGTAAAGCTGATCGCCTTGCTCTTCCTATTCATAGCGGCAATTATCAATTCTTTAAGCGTTTCATGTATAGCAAAATCGCAAGTCTTTTTTACAGTCATTCAAGTAATATCAGTGCTGTTTTTGATTGTGCTGGGAATATGGAAAGCTTCAACCGGGCATACTCAAAATTATGTTTCGATTTTTGACAACTTTGGCAGTTTTGAGCTGGGCAGCCTGAGCATCGCATTATACAATGGACTATGGGCATATGATGGATGGGGTCTTGTTTGCACAATCACAGAAGAATTACAAAACCCAGAGCGGAACCTTCGATTGGCAATTATTACTGGAATCCCATTTGTGATTGTGTGCTACCTTCTAATAAATCTATCCTTTATGTCAGTATTAAGTCACGATGAAATTGCCAATTCCTCTACCGTCGCTACAAGTTTCGTCGAAAAGATTCTTGGAAAAAAAGTGGCCTTGTTGGTTCCTATTGCTGTGGCACTGTCTTGTTTCAGTGCTCTAAACGCGAGTTTACTCGTTTGTTCCAGAACACTTCTTTCTGCCTCTCGTGAGGGACATTGCCCAGAACCATTGTCCTATATACACGCCGACAGAAGAACGCCAGTACCAGCAGTCTTGCTTTTTTGTTTACTGGCACTGACTTGGATTATCTTTCTTGGGGCTGGTACTCAAAGTCTTCTTATTTATTTCTCATTTGCAATTTGGTTCACGTACGGTCTTGCGATATTCGGTGTCATTGTTCTCCGGGTGCGACAACCAGATTTGCCAAGACCTTTCAAAGTATGGATAATCAACCCGATATTCATGACATTGGTGTCCTTGTTTCTTATAATCGCTCCGTTCCTTAAAAATCCTTTGGAGAGCACAATCTGCCTTATCTGCATGTTACTTGCCATTCCGTTCTATTTCTTAGCCATACGAAAAAAGAACTTTGCACCAGCATGTTGCATAAAATTGAAGAAGAGGTTCTATAACTTTATATTGTTTCGGTTTAAACTTGTTCCTTGTGTATACAATAATAACAAAGAGCCTGCGTTAGATATTTCAATTCTGACAAATGATGCACAAGCTTAGATACCTATGCACGACTTTTTCAAGCGTCTATACAAACAGTCAACATTTTTACACTACAGATAAAAGCTAGATCAACGGTTTTGATAAAGCAAATTCCTAGGCTGCACCTTTGAAGCACTGCCATTATGTGCTGATGGCACTAAAGATTTATTAAGCTACTAAATTGGTAAAATATCTTATAAAACGCAACTGCTTTCCCCTCTGGATACCCGAAAGACACAGGACAGGATTTGTTTCAAGCATTAAGGATGTTCAAGTTAGGCCTAGTAGCACACAACTTCATCTACACAATTGCAACATTTCGAATAAATATCATAACAAATCATTTTCACACACCTAGCTAAAGTTTTGTGATGTTCCCTCCCGCCTAAAATAATCTATGAATCGAAATAATGGTATCAAGACTTGCATGAAAAACAAAACACAAACCACTACCCATTTTTCTGACTATTTACCATAACACCGATACGCCCCACCCCCCCTCTCCCTCAGAAAACTCTGGCCATAGACCTTGTTTTTCACTTTAGCTTAAACAATGGAGTAAGACATCAGGGAAAGGAGAAAATTACTCTGAAATCGCTACTTTTTAAAGACGTTAGCAGTTGAAGAAGTTGCACTATTGGTTTCTCTAAGTGAACGAATTGCTTCACGCCCCCAACATTTTTAGAACGTAAGTAGCCACCAGATAAAATGGTTATGAATTTCTTTGCGCTTCTTATAGTAAAATTAATGACATGACAAGTTGAGAATGTCGTAGATTTTCTGTAAGGTTATTTACTATCATAATTTGAAATGCATCATGCAAATTAGAATTTGATGTAGATGTTTAATATAATTGCAGCTTTCGCATTAAATAAAATCATAAAGAAGTCTATAACATGAACTCGATATTTATTTACCCAAATACATACGATAAACGTATAATAAAAGATCGGTAAAGAGATACGAAGAACAAATATAACGCTCATGAAAATTTGGTTCTTAACAGGAATGTGGGGAAAATAATCAACTGTTTTATAAAAGTTTACGCTAATCAAGCTTTAGCTGTCTTAGTTTTGTGATTGAGAGATTGAGAAAGTTAGAGCATTGAGAAAAGTTTTGTGAGAGGTGCTTTTAATAACATCATTGTGATGGCAGAGCAAAGAAAACACACTTTTTACATTCTCACATCTTGATAAACATTCAAGATTCACTACGCAACTGTACGAGATTAAAAATATTACGGATCCACGGATTAACTGAACTAAGGATTAAATATACTGCCTGCCACGTGATTACGTTATGTAATGTGACCTGGAGAGCGTCATCTCCAGTGTGTCCACATTACATGACGTTACTGTCATGCGCTGTAGTGATGTCGCTTTCTCTTTCAGAAAAAATAAAAAAGTGTAAACACATTGTTGTGAAGTGAGCAATATGTTGCATTTATAATTTTACAGCTATCATTTTTTTGTTAATTTACATCAAGAACCATAAAGGATCATTCTACAAATCAAGTTTAGTAAATGTTGCTTTTTTATGTGATCTTTAATTTGTTGCAAAAACACTTGCTCAAGCTTGGATATTCTTAGTGAAAAGGGTTAAAACATTTTGGCAAAAAACAGAGAAAAGGGTACATTTTACGTAACCCAGATACTTTTAAGAACACAAATGATCTAAATTGAGCCGAGTGACTGAGCCTGCCAGGCGTCTGATCTATCCCTAGATATTGATACAACTAGAAATAGCTCTTGCTAGTGCTGCCCGCAAACAATTAGTTCCTTGATAATGATTGTTCTGAAAATTTAGGTCAGGACTTTTGAAGAAGACACCATCTTGGGTTTTCACAGTATTATAAAAACAGCTACTGTAGTTGATGCTAAACTATTCTTTTTATCAAGAATTTTTGGTGTTCAGTTTGCTTTTGATTTAAGTCCAACGCCCTTTTAAAAATCATGAAGTTTTTCGAGGGTTTGACATTTATTTTTTGTTTTCGTGAAGTAAACAAAGACGTATGAAAATGGACACGTGATAGAACGGACACGTGAATCGATTGCGATAAAGGATTCGTACAGCGCAGTACAGGCGATAATCACGACAATCATAACTTTTGCTCGTACGGTCTCGAGTTTTTGGGAGAAAGGTGTGGCATTCGACTGGTTTTGATTCCCAAAACTTCGAATCAAAACTTCCATCCATTACGGAGAACCGAGCTAGGATGCAGCACCGTTTTCGTGCCAAAAAACCGAAGGCTTTTAGCAGAGTCTTCGCAGAGCAACGCTCCGAAGATAATTGCCTTCCGCAGAAAGAGGTGGCGGTTAACGACCTCCTCGACAAAGCCGATTGATTGACAATGAAATTGATTGACAGTTGTCATGGCAGCAGAAAAGTGACAAAATCTGCTGACAAAGTGCTGACAACATGAACTGAAGCTTCCATATGCTACTTATACGCGGGGTAGACTATGAGCCCTTCACTCGCGCGCTATCGCGCGCGAGTTGCGGGCAAAAAGGGAGCTTTTCCAATATGATATTGTTCTTCAATTAATTCTAAACGCCGTATCCCCAAGGAATTTCTACACCACTGGCCTTAAGTTATCTGGCAGCAGGTGAACTGATCAGCATTCTTAATTTAGATGCATGTATTTCGAGAATGAATGACCACGAGACACCAATGCGAGTGAATGACGTAATGTGATTTGGTAGACTATGATCTAGTGCCGACCTAAGACAGTTCGTTAAGCTGAATTCACACTGGACGCGTCACGGCGCGGCGCGGCGCGTCATGACGCTGACCAAATATGGTTAGCATTTTCGGCAGCTATGCGCACGCAGCGCGTTTCTTCAGCCACGCGTCACCGAGCGACCAAATAAATTTAACTTTGACGCTCGGTGACGCTTCAGAACAATAGAAAACCTAGAGAATAATGACAGCCAGAAACGTAAACAAGGAGCTTCTGAAATAGGCCATTATAAAACTGTTTTGCTTGTACGGTGAAGTATATTTTGATGAGTCTCTCTGATTAAAGCATCGGGGGGCTAAATTCTGAAAGTAACAAAAACAAATCACATTTTTTAGATTGTGATAAGTAACAGTATTATTCGTGTTTAGTGTCTTTGTCTATAAAGTTGCCTCGTTGATGTTCAATTCAACAATGATGTTGAGTCATTTGTGTTCCGTTTTGGTAAAAGAAATATTTCAATCACTCCCCGTTAAGCTTTCAATATCTTCCAAAGGTGTATTTCCGAGGGATTTAATTCATGAAAATTTTCGGGAGTGTTTATGAAAATAAGCTGTTTAATCTTCCCTCGAATTTTGGCAGGAAGGGAAACCCCATGAATCTGTAATGCCAAACATTTTGCTAATTGTAGTAGACCTTCAATATCAATAAAAATTTCAGTTCACTAATGGATGCTTGAAGAGAATCGTCTTCCTCTCAAAACATTGGCCAACCTCTCGGACCGAAATGTTGAAGAAACCGCACGAGACTAATTGAAGTACATAGAATACCTAATTTTTTGGCCAAGATGCTGTTTTTGATATATTAGCTTCAGATTACCGTTTCATCCGTTTCTGTAGCAAACTTAAATGTCCAGCTTGACTTTGCAATGCAAGGAATACAGTACAACTTGTCAAGGATTTTGCAAGTTTGCTGTGAACAGCATTGGAAAACAGAAAACGCGCCGCTCCATGACGCATCGTGTGTGAATAGCATGAAGAAGTACATGACGCGACGCTCGATGACGCTCAGTGACGCGCCTCGCCGTGACGCGTCCAGTGTGAATTTTCTGATCAATAAAATATTTTAATATTTTTTCCCAAAACATTTATTTGTGTGAATGTGATTGAGTGTGATATTTATCATACAAATACATCAAATGTTTCAATTTCAGTACATTCTAAAAGCCCTAGTTACTGTTTATTCAATGTTTCAAACCAATAGGTAGACTTTTGAAACCGATTTAGTTCTTCTTGCCTGAAAAGAATTATGATGGTAATTAAATATCAGCATTTCCTTAGTGCCGCTGATTTATGATTACAACATTTGATTTTTTGTAATTTTGTATTATATTATACAAGTTACTTGCAGAAAAATGTCTATGTTTCTTGTTTTCTCTTATTTATTTGAAAGTTAAATTTCACTTAAGCCCAAGATGAGTTGGACAACTGCAAATGATGTTGCTTTATGACAGGAGATTCTGGTTCTAGAACCATATAAATATAAAGTGGGTAGTAGAGAGAGGGGCCAGTGCTGGGATGCAGAAAACTTGAATTCCATAAGTCACCACAAATTTTCTGTAGACCAGAGGGCTGTTAAAGACTCAGAAAGAGATTGTCAAATTTAGAGAAATATTACAGGAAGAGAATGGCAAGTGGGATATCCCCTGAAATGACAGAGCTTGATGAAGCTCTTGAAAATATTCTTGAATTAATGGAGGAGGCATCAAAAACAAGGAAAGGTATGGACAAGAATCAGGAGGTAAATCAGCAGCAAGTGGCGGAGGCTATTAGAAAACGATCCATGGAAACATTGGCAGAAACATTGGAAAGAGAGAAGGAAGGGACAGGTAAGAAGAAGAAAACGTTATGTTGGCTCAGATACCATTGATTGTCTGAAAGACAAAAATGAGAATGAGAAGCATTTAATGGAAAAGAAGTTAGAACTAAAAGTAAGGCAAAATAATATGCTGATGCAAAAGTTGTTGTAAAAGTGAGGAGTGGCAAAATAATATGCTGCTGCAGCTTGAGGAAAGAGTCAATTGTTTAACTCAGCAACAACAATAGCAGCATATTATTTTACAGGAGATCAAAGAACAAACTTCTAAAATACTTGAACTTATTAACAAAAGCTTTTCAGACTGAAATGGCATGAGGTGGAACATAGAGGTTTATTTTTAAGTTAAATGTCTCATTATCACCTTCAGTTCTCTTCTTTTCCCCCCTCTGCCATCAATGTTATGTATATACTGCTGGTCAATTGCTTCTTTTGCTAGTACTTTTGGCTTATTTACCATATTTGC